TAGGACAGTCCTGGGGGACACCTGTTGTTCTGGCAAAATTTGTAATAAACTTAAGTTTCCCAATCTGGACCATAAATTACATGTACAATATACTCATGGAGGCATCTTTCACTTGGAAGGAAGGAAGGGGCCTGGTCATGGCTCTCCACTCACACAGAAACAGGCTGCACAGTAGGCTCAGAACCTAATTCCTGCATTCTATAAGCAGGGAAGCTGTGGCTCAAACCTGCCCAAGTCACTGAGGAAGCCAGTGGCAGGGGGCTCTCTTCTCTGTAACAGCGGTGTTGTCTGTGCTCACAAGGAGCCTCAGTTCTTCACTTCATCAGTCCTCCTCTGAAATAGATTCAGGCAAGAGTTTCATCGGAACCTTTGCAGATTAAACTCAGTGTTTGTGATAGGAAGCAATCCTGGAACTGCAGATATCATCTGAATTGCCCCTCTAGGGGACTTATTCAGGAAAACCAGGAAGCCCATCTTCTTTGTGGAGCTAGGTGGGGTGACAGTGAATGAAGACAAAGGGTTGTACACTGCCCTTCCAATGCTCACCTCTCCCAGCTTCCCTTCTTCTGCAAGTCCGCGTGAGAATTTTAAAAATTTTTAATTGTTAAGTAAGCATAATATCAAATTAACCATTTTTAAGTGTACAGCTTAGTGGGATTCAGTATACTCATAGCATTGTGCCACCATCACCACTATCCACAGAACTTTTTATCTTGCAAAAACAACACTTTACCCATTAAACAATAACTTCCCATTTGCCCCATGCCTGGCCCCTGGCAAATGCTCTTCTACTTTCTGTTTTTATGAATTTGACTGTTCTGGGTACATTATATAAGTGGAATCATACAGTATTTGTTCTTTTGTGTCTGGCTTATTTCACCTAGCATAATGTCCTCAAGGTTCATCCATGTTGTAGCATGTGACAGGATTGCCTTCCTTTTTAAGGCTGGATATTTCATTGCATGTGGAGACTAGATTTCATGTATCCATTCACCCATCACTAGATACCTGGGTTGCTTCTCCCTTTTGGCTATTGTGAATAATGCTGTTATGAACATAGGTATACAAATATCTCTTCAAGATCTTGCTTTCAATTCTTCTGGGTATAATACCCAGAAGTAGAATTGCTGGATCATATTAAAATTCTATTTTTTAACTTTTTGAGAAGCCACCACACTATTTTCCATAGCAGCTACACCATTTTACAGTCTCATGAACAGTGCATATGGGTTCCACTTTCTCCACATCCTTGCCAACATCTGTTATGTTCTGTTCTTTTCATAGTAGCCATCCTCATGGGTGTGAAGTGGTATTTCTCTGTGGTTTTGATTTGCATTTCCCTAAGTCAAAGTGAGATATTGCCCTAGAAACAGGTCTAACACAACCAAAGAATGATTATAACAATTTTTAAAAATGCTAGGGCCTTCAAAATGCTATGTTGTCTGGGAGCACTGTTTCCTGACATCCATGAGATAAGAACACCATGAACCCAGCTCCATGCTCACATGTCACATGGTAAAACACAAGGTTCAGAACAGAGACACATTGGCAGCACCCACGTTTCTCACCCTAAGTGTTATCATGACCAGCCTCTTGGAAAGAAAACTCTGACCCTAAACTAGAGGGAGAGAAGCTTCAGAAAGCTGTTAGTGTTACAGGTATTTATTATAAAGAATGTTGCTGTGAAAATAATTCTGAATGAGACAAACTGTTAAATAAAACCTGTGCTTGTTCCAACACTCAGAATTGGTCAAAGAAACAACAGGTTGCCTTTTATATATTCAAATCTGCCTGCTGAGCCCAGACAATCCTTCTGCTCCATTGTTCATTCTTAATTCATCAAAACAAAATAAATATTATAAAAATTCTGTGCAAAACAGCCTAGCTGTGCTTTGCTTCAAAATATCCAAGAGGTGGGGGTGGGGCAGAAATTACACAAGATTGGATGAGATGGTAATTTTTGAAGCTGGGCGATAGGAACATGGGTGTTCATTATATTATTCTCTTTTTTATAAAAGAAAACTCCTCTATGGAGGTAAGGGCTTGGCGTATCACTTTAGACATTTTCAGCAACCTTGTAAGGCAGGCAGCAGGCAGGTGAGATCAATATTTGAAACCACCAAGGCTTATCAAGGTTACCAGTTCAGGTCCAAATCCAGACTGGCCCCCAGGGGCCTTCCACTGCACCGTGTATGTCCCAAAGGCCTCTACACCCCAATTCTCAGGTCTTACTCCACATTCCCAGCTCCTGAGCAGCTGAAAACAACAAATCACCACCAGGAACTCAGCAGGAAAGGGCCAGGTAGCCTTCCCCAACCAGGCGCCTGGCCTCAGCCTACGAATTTCCACACCAAGCTTTCTCAGGCCTCATTTTCCTGACCACTCCTTTTTGTCCCTTCCTGTTCCACCCCAGTGCACACTAACTGAGAAATGATTAACTCTCCAAGTACACGCAATGACAATTCTGCAGAAGACCAATAAAGCTGCAGCACCCTTCAATCACCAAACAGAAAGCTGTAATTCTGGATTTGTGAACTCCACTATTTTAATTTGGAGCCGCAAAGATACTATCAGGCAAGGGAATAAAGCTTCTCAAGAGCAAAGAATCTGTTCTGAAAAACATCTGAAGACACAGACACCAGGGCCCTCGGCCACGGCAGCAGCATGGGAGTTTCCCCCTAGCTGCAAAAATCAGAATGAGAATCAGAGGTCAAGGCACATGGCCAAGAGAGCACAGCTGGCAGTGACAATGACAGCTGGGTGTACAAGTGTCCAAAGTGTGAGACTGCCTGCCTAGGCCAGATGGCTCTCCTCCCAACAACTAGCTAGAGGGTGGTGTCTCCAGGTAGGGCCAGAGGATTCTCTCAAGACAGGGAGCAATGCAGGCAGGAGATGCCACGAGTCTCAAGGATACAGCCAGTCCTCCCATTAGAAAGGGCAGGCCCACAGGAACCACATGAAATGCCCAGCACTGCCCTACTTCAGGGGCATTGACGAAGTTGGTGAAAAGCTGCCTGAGCACAGAAAAAGACCTGGGGTGTACAGCCAAGCCGCTGAATCCCAACCTATTTCTCCAGGACAGAAAACTCCAAAACTTGGAAATAAACCATCAGGAGGTGATATTGTTTAATCAAGTGTGAAAGACAGATGGTTACTAGATGTATTGTGGCAATTGCTTCATAAGGTATATAAATGTTGACACCCTATGTTGTATACCTGACACTAATGTGATATTGAATGTGAAGTACAATTAAAAATAAACTTAAAGGAAAAAAGTTCCAATCCAAATAGCAAATGCCAAAATCCAGAGCAGAGGCAAAATGTGGCATCACGGCCACTCCTTCTGCCCTTCCTTCTCCATCTGCACCCACAAGGACACTGATAAGCAATGCCTGCTCAATGATTTTAAAAGCCTCTGTGCATGATCATGTCCCCTCACCCTTCAGCACAGAAAAATCAATGTCTGCCTCTCCCTGGGTCAATCCCACTGACAACACACACACGGTGTATCTCCCTGAACCCCTGGACCAGCCACTGCCCAACTATTAAATGCTCCTCTTTTAGGCAACAGTCCTTGTGAGAATTGTCATGAGCCACCAATCTCCACTTCCTCACATCCCACTGGCTCCTTGGCCAACTCCAGGTGGGTTTCAGTGCCCCCTGAGCAAACAGCAGTCCTAGTCAAGGTCACCAACAACCCCTGTCCTGTCAAAGCCAATGACAATTTTCTGTCCTTTTCCTGCTTCACCTTTGGTGCAGCTGATTGCTCCTTTCTATTTGAAGGGCTTCCTCTCAAGGCTTCCACAACACAAAATCTCCGGGCTTCCTTTTACCTCAGGCCACTCACTCACAGCTAACTTTGGAGTGGACTTTCCACCTCAACTCCATCTCCTGGATGCCAGGGCTCAATATCCAGACCTCTCCTTTTCTCAGTCAACATGCTCTCCTTCCATGAACTCATCTAGTCTACCCCTCCCTGTGATGGTGGCTAAGACTTCAGAGTGGACACTTAGACAGGAAAGTGTCATCTCTATGTAACTAGCTAAGAGACCATTTCAAACCCTTCTGTCCCAAAATTCCATCTCAGAACATGGTTACCACCATCCATCCCCTCACTCTGCAGAATCATTCCAAAATCAGATCACACCACCCAATTAATAACCTATCAAGAGTTACTAAAAAAAGTAGGAAATAATTCCAACTACTTACTGAGAACTGTGTGGTCCTACATGGCCCAGCCCCTTCGTGCCTCTGTCCTCACCTGTGTCTCCTGTCTGTACTCAGCTGCAGACACGGGGCCTTCTCTTCGCATCTTGCATATGCCAAGCTCATTCCTGCCTCAGGCCCTTTACAAATGCTGTTCCCTGGCCTGGGGCTATCTTCCCCAGACCCCCAATGAGGGTGCCTCTTCACTCATATTCAGGCCTCAGTCCACAAGTCACCTCATCACAATGTTCTTTTCTAACCACCCTCAATAAGGAGCTTTTCCCTCTCTGCTCCGTTGCTAAGTAGGCTAATACCACTTTTGGTTAAACACAGCACCAAAGGTCAGGGCTTTAATTGCCCTTGTCCAGTCCTAACTCCCAGAGCCTAGAAGAGGGTCTGGCCTACAGGCAGATGCATACAAACTGCTCTGCTCAAATGCCCTTTGGGGACATTCCTGGGGTGGGAATGAGGCAGGATATGGGGAGAAAATACATATCTGGACTAGAGCACCAAGTTTTCCTGAACCCCCAAAGCTCAGGTAGTCTGATATTCAATTACCAGACCATCTAGACCACTCATTCAATTAGTCTGGTTTTCCATCACCCTGGCCTTCCCCATCAGAGCAATTAAGGGTCTATTTTATAATTCACTTGTTGCTAGAGCAGGGCTGATTAACCCTGCCCACCATCCCATCCAGCGCCTCAGAGGGCCTGGCAAATCAAAAGCATGTGAAAAATTATAATTTACTAAATAATGGACTAAACAAGGGAATGAGGCCGCACTCATCCACTCACCCAGAAGACGATGTTGTAACTGAAGAGGAGGTACTTGTACCAGCAGCTGACTTCAGCGTTAGAGTATCTATAATAGTGCATCTTCTATGAAGCCGGATCTGTAGAGAGATGTGGGAGCCATGAGGTAGCAGGTTCAGTTCCAAAACACCACCCCAAAACCTGCTCCCCAAGGAAAGAGAAAAGGTAAGGCTTATATATAGACTCCAGAAATCTCCAAATTGTTTCCCTGTGTTCTTTTACTCATCCAGGCACAAGTTTGTTATCAATGCCAGCTGTAAGTTTGGCAAAAATCAGGTTAAGTCAACTTTCTGAAAACAGCCAAAAAATGAGAATAATTTTTGAAAGATTGGAAAATGGCTATTTTTTAACTATCTCCTAAATACTAGGGCTTCTGCCTAATGCCTTTTAGGTACTGATTGTTCTACTTCATGGTAGAGAAAACAGGAATTCAGAAAGCTATGTGACTTGCTCAAGGATAAGGAAAAAACAACAGGCCCTAGGATCTGAACCAAGGACAGGATTCCACAGACCATGTTCTTTCCACCTACCACTACCTGGGGAAGAATAGCAGGAAGTAAGAGTCAAATGAAGAAATGGGGACTCAACCATTTTGGGAAGATGTGACAAATGCCAAGTTTGGACATAATCTAACACTGGCCAGTAAAGAAAAGCCAGAATTAAGGCTCCATATTTGTTCACCTAAGATTTTCTGAGACAACCTCTCAAGCTCAGCCCTCACAGAGGTGAGGAGGGCAGGGTACCCTGGCCTTGGCAGGGAGATCGCATGAGCCCAACATTCACCCCATTCCTTCCTCCTCTTTCTCCCCTCCCCCTCACCGCCACTCCCAACAACCAAAACCACTGTTTTGGCCTTAAACTACAGAACACTCTGTAATTTCATAAAGTGAAGGCAGCGGGGAAGGGGAAGTCACTTTTTTTATCTGTGTCCATCCCACAAAGCCTCTCAGAGTATCCTACAAAAAGGAGGTATCCTTAAAGGAGAATTCAGAGCATCTGACCCAGAACCCCTAACTCCTCCACCACACTGCAGACAACACAGAAGCTGAAGGATGAGGAAGGAGGGTGGCGCCTCCAGCTGACCCAGGATCCGAGGCTTACAGGGGAGTGCTCATCCCCAGCCCTATCTGCCTCCCAATTCTCAGATCTCCTAACATAACAGGACCAGGGCAAAAACAAACAAGGCTACTGGCAATGAAGACACAACCCACCCACAACCACCAGTAATAAACTAGAGTCTGCCACGCTCAAGAGTGCAAAATCTGGTCTTGTGAGGCAGCCTCAGGGCTCAGCTGCTGTTCTGAGAAAGTGGTACCATGCAGAGACATGAAAATCACAGCCCTCTAAAAGTGGGTGCTATGACAGCTCAACCATCCTTCCCACAGAGCAGAATCAACGGGCACAGTCTGCGCACCGTCATTGGCTCATCCCCTCCCTTCAAGAGAGATGGGAGAGTGATCAGCGGCCTGCTGGGAGAGACAGGCCAGTCTGGTCTCAAAAACCAGCAGCCCCATGCCACCTCCCCATCCTGCCATCAGAGCTGTACTTCCACAGAGACCCCTCTAAGAATGAGTGTGAACACAACCTTGAAGGCCATTACTGGACACAAGGACACACAGGAGGCCTGAGCACAGCCTGGGCTACAAAGGTAGCTGCAGGGAGAGGAGCAGGAACTCCCAGGCAGACTCCTTCCTTCAGCAACATGACCTGACCCTGGGCAAGCCCCTGCCCTCTGAAGCCTTCAGCATCCTCACTTAAAACAGGACACTTAGTGACCGATCCCTAATGTTACTGGTATTGAGGAGACCAGCTGGCAGCATCAGAATGATTGGGTCTACATACAGATTCCAGGGCCCTACTCTTTGGGCCCACTTGTTGATTCCTCCCCATGGGAACAGAGGCTAGCAAGGTCGGGAGAGCTTCCCCCGTCCCCCTGTCCCAGTTCTACCCCACTTCCCCACTTAACCGAAGGAGCAGGGAGGAAAGGCTACCTCCTGCTCTTACACTGCTCTCTGTTTTGCAGACCAGGGATGGAGAAGCAGGTCCTGAACTTCAATGTGACACACAAAAAGAGTCTAGTGCCCACAGAGGCAGAGCCCGGAATTTAAATTGAAGGAGGTAATTGGACGACTTGTTTGGACCCCGGCCTAAGCCACATCCTTCAACACAGGGCCTGCTGGCCTTCAGTTGGAGGGAAGATAGCCAGTGCTAAGCTCCTGGGTCAGTGCCTTCAGAACCTCAATGAAGGGAAAAAGATTGATGAGTACTCCTGAGCTGCCAACCTGAGGCATTAGCCACATTTACAAAGAGAACCCCAAGAAGGCAATAAAGGCAGTGCTGCTAAAACTATTACATCAGCACCCAAAAGTCAGCCAAAATGACTCCAAAGTGACTGTGGTACTAAGACAGGATAGTGAGAAACTAGGAAAATTCCTTGGCAAGTGAAACAGGGAAACTGAGACAGATAGCTGAACACAATGGCCCAGCAATTTACAGCCAGGTGCAGAGGGTCGCCAGGGCAACACGGAGAAAACAAGGATCTTACCCCAGAGTAACCTTTCCTTACTGGAGATAACATCTAGGCCTCAGTTGTATTTCAGCTCCTGGCCCAGAAATGCAGCAAAACCAGGTGGTCAACACCAGAACCAACTGCAATAACTAAAAGACCCCCTCCCCTGTCACTGACCAATCAGAGAAGACCATGACCCCAAAAGGGCACACCTGGAGAACTGATGAATACTCTACTGAAACCCTCCCCTGAGACCCTGCTAAGGTTCTGGCTCCTAAGAAAAGAGATAAAAGTCTCAAAAAAAGGACCCATAGGCCGTGGCATGCTCTCCTGGTAGAGCAGCCCACGCCATTCCCTTCTTCCCCCACTTCTTTCCTCACAGGCACACATCTCCTGAACTCTAAGGCAATGGGCATCTGGTAACTTGTCCCAGGCTGATCCCCTGAACTTTTTCCTCTGACTTCCTAGTGAGCTAAGGCAGCCCAGCCTAGGCTCTCCTGTTGTTTCTTCTATGCTAATCCCTCCTTGTTTCACTGTCCCCAGCTTTAATAAACGCATCCTCCTAGTCACCTGGACTCATGTGGTAAAATCTTTCCTACATGAAATCAAGAACCCACACTCTACAGCTGACCCTAGGAGACAAGCTCAGGGCCAAGCCCCTCTCTGGTAATGGTCCCTGGCATCTCCTCTTATTTGCTAAACTGAGTAATGAATTCAATTAACATCAAGATCATTTATTTTAAAACACACACAGACTGAGTCTTAGCTTCCTAAAAGAAGACAGATAAACTCTGAGCATATACTAATTACCACCACCAACAGAGAAAGCTCATCAAAAGCTATTTTTTTTACATAGAAAACAATTATCAGAAAAATGTAATTCCCCATCCTCAAACTGTCTCAACTGCAAAACTTAGAACAGACTAATGCATTGATGTGGCAAATAAGAGGCAAGTGTATCTCAAGAAATCAACTTCTCAAAACAAGGGGGAAAGTTGGAATCCTGTAATTGTTGACATAGCTGGCTAGCAATCTGAGAAGAAGTAAACAATAAGCCAGAATCAATCTAAGTATTAAAGGCCGCATGCCGGTGTGTGCATGAGAACAGGGTACACACAAGAGAACAGGGTACTCAAATTTCAGGCCTATATTAATCTTCACTTTTCAGTCAAGAGGGGAAAAAGAAATCCAAAGTACAAAAATTTCAATATAAAACATAACATTTTTAAATTCCCATACAATTAAAAGTAACATTAAAATAACAAAGGAAATACACATGTTATCTGCAACTGCAGCAATTATAACAAAGGGTAAATATCTACAATATAAAAATTCAAACTTAAAATAAAATACTCCAGTTTCAGAAAAATGACAGAGAAAACTGGTATTATACTGAAATGAAAGGACAATACAATTAACAGAAAAATATGCAACATCGCTGGAAATGAAACAATCCAGATGTTATTCTACACCATTTAATTCAACAAAATCACCACCACTGTAGCTGGCAAACCCATAGTGAGGCTGGTATTCTCATACCTCAATGGCAGCAGAGTCAACTGTTACTACCCTTTGGTAAGCAATTCGGTTCTAGGCATTCAAACCCCACTCTCCCCCCAAATGGTCATACCCCTAATCCAATAACTGCATGACTAAGAATTTTGCCTCAGGAAAATAAACCAAGAGAAGAAAAAGAATATGCATTAAGTATGAAATCTGCACATCATGGTTTGTAATCATGAAGAATTTGTAAGCATGTGGTGGTCGAAGGCCAAAATGGAAGAGGAAAGCATGAAAGTGGTTGCATGGGGTGGTGAATTTACAAGTGATTTTCTGAAAAAAGTTTCCATTGCCACATTTACCATTACCACTTTCATATTACCAATGTGAATGGAGGCCATTGCTCCTGGGGGCAGGGGGAGCATGTCTGCCTGAAGGATGCTGGCCCCTCCAGGTGGGGACCTCAGCAGTCACTCTAAACAGGGCTTGTCTATTATGGGATTTTATTAACCCAGAAGGTTCCTTCCTCCTATTCTCCCTATCTTTTTAATTACAAAAGTAGCATATGCTCAATCATAAAATATTTAAAGAACAGAAGTGTGAAAAGTGAACTGGCAATGAGAAAGTACTAAACACTGGCTTTCAAAGTTTTTACCATAGCCCACAGTAAGAAACCCATTTATCAAAATCAACCCAGAGCACATATACTTGCATACTCAATTAAAATTAGTTTCATGAAACAATACTTCTCCTTATTAGATGGCATGAATTCTAGACTTGCTGTTTGTTCTTTTGTTTTTCAAAAAAAAAAATAATAAATTATCCCTGCACATAATCTAAAAGTCAACTATTGTAAAAGCTGTGCTGAGAAGAACAGCAGATCCTAGGCCCTCGGGCAGGTCTTCCCCTTTCCCAGGGACACTTTCAACTTCTTGTTCACTTTGATGTTGTTAAAAAAAAAAAAAAATCACAGGCCCAGCATGACATCACTTGTGCTAGACGCCCTGACACCAAACCTAGAGTTGATATCTGATCTAACTGCAGTCTTATTTCTTCCAGAAACATAATCTT